CAGTGAGACAATCATCAGGGACTACAAAGTCCTGACACATTTCAGGGAGACAATCATCAGGTACTACAAAATCCTGAAACATTTCAGTGAGACAGTCATCAGGTTCTACAAAGTCCCGACACATTTCAGTGAGAAAATCATCAGGTACTACAAAGTCCCGACACATTTCAGTGAGACAGTCATCAGGTACTACAACGTCCTGACACATTTCAGTGAGCCAAGCATCAGTTTCTACAAAGTCCCGACACATTTCAGTGAGAAAATCATTAGGTACTACAAAGTCCTGACACATTTGAGTGAGACAATCATTAGGTACTACAAGGTCCTGACACATTTCAGTGAGACCATCATCAGGTACTACAAAGTCCTTACACATTTCAGTGAGACAATCATAAGGTTCTACAAAGTCCCGACACATTTCAGTGAGACAATCATAAGGTTCTACAAAGTCCCGACACATTTCAGTGAGACAATCCTTAGGTACTACAAGGTCCTGACACATTTCAGTGAGACAATCATAAGGTACTACAAAGTCCTGAAACATTTCAATGAGACAATCATCAGGTACTACAAAATCCTGACACATTTCAGTGAGACAATCTTCAGGTTCAATAAAGTCCCGACACATTTCAGTGAGAAAATCATCAAGTACTACAAAGTCCTGACACATTGCAGTGAGACAATCATCAGGTTCAACAAAGTCACGACACATTTCAGTGAGACAATCATAAGGTACTACAAAGTCCTGAAACATTTCAATGAGACAATCATCAGGTACTACAAAATCCTGAAACATTTCAGTGAGACAGTCATCAGGTACTACAAAGTCCTGCCCCATTTCAGTAAGACAATCATCAGGAACTACAAAGTCCTGACACATTTCTGTGAGACAATCATCAGGTTCTACAAAGTCCAGACAAATTTCAGTGAGACAATCATCAGGACCTACAAAGTCCTGACACATTTCAGGGAGCGAATCATCAGGTTCTACAAAGTCCTCATACATTTCAGTGAGGCAATCATCAGGGACTACAAAGTCCTGACACATTTCTGTGAGACAATCATCAGGTTCTACAAAGTCCCGACACATTTCAGTGAGAAAATCATCAAGTACTACAAAGTCCTGACACATTTGAGTGAGACAATCATTAGGTACTACAAGGTCCTGACACATTTCAGTGAGACCATCATCAGGTACTACAAAGTCCTGTCACATTTCAGTGAGCCAATCATCAGATTCTACAAAGTCCCGACACATTTCAGTGAGAAAATCATCAGGTACTACAAAGTCCTGATACATTTCAGTTTTGGCATTGAAATCACCAAGAATGGACACTTTACAGTTATTTTGACAAATATCGAGCAATTCATTTTCTATTTCATTACTAGCGTACAGCTAGATATAGTCCGAATTATTCTGACGTTTTATCGACTTTTTTCATATCGATCTGTCGTCGATTAACGATGTTAATCGACGACAGACCGATATGAAAAAAGTTGATAAAACGTCAGAATAATTCGGACTAAGCTAGATAATCGCCCAATTTCTGTTAACTGTTTTTTTAACAGTCCATAATTATTTCCAAAAACATTCGCTCTTGTACACTTTATTTCACTTAATTTCAGAAATCATGTATGACTTTTATGTATTATTGTTTGGAAAGAGAGAGAAAGAGATCCAAGAAGGAAAGAGTTCAAAAGGAGAAAACGTGTGAGAAATATGTTGTATCTACATGTAGTACGAGTTTTTTCCCTGTGGATGTGGATGTCATTTTCTTAATACAGATGTTGAATTACACATAGAATGTGTGAACTGTTGATAAACATCTTTGGTTGTTAAAAAAAATACGAAATATTTCGTAAATAAAAATATTTTTCATAGAATAGCATGCCTGGCTGTCAGTCCGACTCATTGACGCAGTCACTGCAGCTATCACGATCATCAGACGTATGCTGAAAACAGGAACAACTTACGATTGTGTAATATAACGCACAAATATATGTATATGCATATATTTATACGATTCATCTACTATCTGTTATTAGCCAGAAGTATTACAAATGTCTGTTACTCCCGTCAATATTTCTTTTCCAAGAGTGTGCAGATAAATGTAGTTTGGAAATCACAAGTCTACGCTGTTTCCTCAATACTCGGTCGTATATGGAGGAACTTTGTGAGAAAGCAAAATCACCATCAGGCAGCACGGTGATGGCTAAGGACGGGATTCACTAACCACCTCTATATATAGAAAGAGCAGTGTCGAAAGTTGAACAATTTTACTCCATCAAAATATAGGTTTATAATGGAGAGTACAGACAACTCCACAGAATCACCAAAGAATTGAGCGTGTCCTCCCGAATAAGGGTGGTCTGAAGATGTCAGTTCCTCTCTCATAGACATAATAACACGAGTTAGAAATAAACTTGGCGTGATAATTATTCAGTTTATATCGACAATGTGCCTATATTAGCTGACATGTCACCTGAAACAGCTTGAATGAACCTTCAATGACGACTTGCTCATCATACCTGCAAAATTTCTTCTAACTAAATACTGTGAATTCGATCCTATTCCAACGTATTTATGTCTGCTACATTAAATTAATTCAATAATCACCAAATCTCTGGTTCAGCCCAGTGTCCTATTCTGAAGATTACAATTTTCCTATAGCGAATTTTCCCTTTCTTGATTGTAATATATCTGCTTCCGAAATCTCCGGCGTTAACAGGTCGCATTGCGGATGTGATGCCAACTTTAGAGTGTTATCATACGAACTGACCATGCCGAGGGAACCAAACACAGTATGTTACCATGTAACATTATACTGACAACGGGTTAATGATTCCCGTGATAGATGTCGTTTGCTGAAAGACAACTGACAACACAGGTATCCCAAAAACGCAGGTTGGTGACGACATATATGGTTATCGATAATATGTCCTTGGGAAATATGTTTTTTCCCTACGTGATATGATTGGCGATGGGTTTTGTTTTTAGTGGGTTTTTTAAATTAGCAAGCCTTGTTATTTCGTTGTCACTACCCTAGTTCTCGCTAAGAGGACGTGATATTACTTGGATTTGAAGCAGATTAACATGACGGGTGTTGTCGATGGAGCAGGAAACGCTTACTATTCCGGAACACCTGGTCTTATTGAAATTCATTACCCAATTTAAGTCTGCCTCGTTAGCTTCAAACATTATATAAAACAATATTCACCTTATCAATGAAATGGTGGTACTCCGTTTTAATTTATTAAATGGATAATAATTTCAAGAATGCACTGAATTTCTATAAATATACTCTAAATATTGCAATACATTTCAAAGAAGAAATTGTTGCGGTTCCCTTCCCTTACCTTCTCCTCTGTCCTCCGAAAATCACAATATTGTCTCAACATTTTGAATTTCTGTAGTCTTACCTTTCAAAGTTATGGTTACAAAATGTCTTCAGCAATACTCGTGAGTTAAGATATAACAAGTTCGTTTGAAGCCTGTTATTTATGACAAGGGGTATCATAAAATTTGCACTTTCAGTTTTAAACATCGATTGTATTGTTATGAAGTGCATTAAGTAATAAATCATGTTTGCAGTTTTATTGTAGTTTCTAACGAGAGGGAACCTCCCAGACTGACGTACATTTACGACGTATATAAATATACATACCTAAGTGGTCTAATGTAATTCTAATGTAGTTAACAACAGAGCTGTTTCCGGAAAACTAAATGAATGTTTTACTTACGTTAAAAGGATCTAAAATATACACCAAATCATATGAAACTATTAATAATATTTCAGTACATCGTTCAGGGGATCTTAATATAGCTTGTCTGGCATGAACGTAAACGTTTATCAAAGACGGAAATATTAGGATATAATCAAATGCTTTGTATAAACAGTTGTTGTAAATTGCTTCTATCTGTTACTATTTTATCTACCAATGTAACAAAACAACACAGATTCAATTTTTTTTATTATTGCGAATTCCAACTTAAACAGATATATAATATAAAACACAAAAACAACCACACCTGAAACGCGTCTGCCTTACTATCATGGCGTGTTTAGTTACCTTGTGATGTCTAGGTATGTAAGTCAGCCATTTGTTGTCTAGGTTTTGTAGAGAATGGTGTGTCTTCTGTTGTCTAGGGTGTGTATAATTACCTTTTGTTGTCTAGGGTGTGTATAGGTTCCTTGTGTTGTCTAGGGTGTGTTTAGTAACTTTCTGTTGTCTAGGGTGTGTATAGTTACCTTTTGTTGTCTAGGGTGTGTATAGGTTCCTTGTGCTGTCTAGGGTGTGTTTAGTAACTTTCTGTTGTCTAGGGTGTGTATAGTTTCCTTCTGTTGTCTATGGTGTGTATAGTTAACTCCTGTTGTCAAGGGTGTGTATAGTTACCTTCTGTTGTCTAGGGTGTGTGTAGTTACCTTTTGTTGTCTAGGGTGTGTATAGTTACCTTTTGTTGTCTAGGGTGTGTATAGTTACATTCTGATGTCTAGGGTGTGTATAGTTACCTTCTGTTGTCTAGGGTGTGTATAGTTACCTTCTGTTGTCTAGGGTGTGAATAGTTACCTTCTGATGTCTAGGGTGTGTATAGTTACCTTCTGTTGTCTAGGGTGTGTATAGTTACATTCTGTTGTCTAGTGTGTGTATAGTTACCTTCTGTTGTCTAGGGTGAGTATAGTTTCCTTCTGTTGTCTAGAGTGTGTATAGTTACCTTCTGTTGTCTAGAGTGTGTATAATTACCTTCTGTTGTCTAGGGTGTGTATAGTTACCTTCTGTTGTCTAGGATGTGTATAATTACCATTTGTTGTCCAGAGTGTGTATAGTTACCTTCTGTTGTCCAGAGTGTGTATAGTTACCTTCTGTTGTCAAGCTTCTGTAAGGTATTGTGTATTTAGTTCACTACCCTTTCTAGGTTGTGTAAGGTATGATGTGTCTAGTCACCTTTTTTTGTCTTTTTACAGTCGGTAAGGTATGCTGTGTTTAGTCACTTTTTTGTCTACAGTAGGTAAGGTATGCTGTGTTTAGTCACTTTTTTGTCTTTTTACAGTTGGTAAGGTATGCTGTGTTTAGCCACTTTTTTGTCTTTTTACAGTCGGTAAGGTATGCTGTGTTTAGTAACTTTTTTGTCTACAGTAGGTAAGGTATGATGTGTCTAGTTTCCTTGCTTTGTCTTAGTTATGTAGTAATTCAAATCTTCTTTTCATGCTGGCTGGCACTGTCTTGTTTGGTAAGATCAACAGTAGTTACAAGTACTCCTGACTCGAGTTTTTTCACCTTGACAGAAGGATCCCTTACATTTTTCTTAGATGTTTCGCCGAATCTATAGGAAATGCCACATACTATAAGTACAGCCAAAGTACACATAAACACGGTGATAACATGGTCTACTGTTGTAGGTACCTCTGGTTTCCTGAAAGCAAAAATAAGGAGGAATAAAAACACTGAACTTGCTTAAATTAGCATTCTAAAAGAATAAAAATGCATACCTCATATCTCCGATCCCCTCTATGTATACAGTTGAGTGTAGACTAAAGCTAACATGTACTGTGTTAGGAGTGTGCTACATTGGAGTTGGCCAGTAACTAGAACACGACAGGTTAGTAAGGGTCACACCATTTACTTGACCATATCAACCATGGCAAATATGTAATAACAGTAACCTTAACCTTAACCATCCCCCCAACCAATTGCACATCTATATATCACAATGTATCAACATGTTCAATTTCCAAAAGACTAGACTTTGGGATTCCAAAATGAGGAAAGTTGTGAAACCCTATTGCACATCTACATATTACAGTGATTATTGTACATCGATCTGCTTCACACATCATATTTAAGAAAGACAAGTCGTTTGGATTTAGATAGAATCGTTGGAAATGAAAGTGTGGATGGACGAATAGACAGACAGACATCTGATTATTATAGGGTACCCATATCTCCAATGCAGGGCCCTAAAATTGAGTCTGTGTCCCAAAGTTAATCTACCCGAGTTTGAAATGGTCCACAGGTATATAGCAATATATAGCTGCGCTCCTTATAAAAAATATGTAAGATTGGTTTATCACTGACTTGGTCGGATTCCAAGCTGATAATACTGGATATTCAACGCTTAAATAGTTATTTTATATAAAATGTAATTATTAGATTTCGAGATATTGTTACTATTAGTTTTAATTAAAATAAAAATTCTCTGAAATGCCAGCAAATGGGAACATCCATCCAAAAGAATGACATTATAATGCTGGCTTTTTCCCTGTTAGATAAATTATGACAAAACCAATGTCACTTTTCTTCCTACTTAATAAGACTTTTATAAAATTCCCTGAAGCGCACTTCATAACATTCAAAACCTGGAATGTAAATAGGAACACATGTCAAATACTAAAACATAGAAACAGGAATCTCCCTCAGACATGCTTCAACTAATGTTTACGTTAGCTAAGCAGTCTTGTATAGTAAATGGAAATAGAAATGATGGGCAACAACACCACTGAATTCAGTACAAAATGTGATGCTTGATTTATATCCTATGTGCTGACATGTTTCGGCCAAAAGGCGGCCGTCTTCAGAGCACAGCAGCTACATGATGTATGCAACTATGGTACAATGACAATAAAGGTCATGTGACTAGAACAATAAAGAATAACTGTGGCGTCATCAAGTTACTAAGGGTTGCAGCCTGAAAGGGTGAAAAGGTTTAGCCATTTTTGATAATTGAATAAGTGCTTAATAATTTCAGTATGATGCACAAGAGGATTACATAAAAGTATCATAATAAATATGAATGTACAAATGTATGTAGTATTAGAGTATTTACAAAGCAGGAGATGATTAAACGGACAGAAATAAGGGATAGTAAACAAGCCAAACTCTAAGGTTATTGTATTGTCTCTAAAGGAACAGAAATAAGGGATAGTAAACAAGCCAAACTCTAAGGTTATTGCGTGTCTCTAAAGGAACAGAAATTGTTATGGAAATATCATTAAGCATGATTGAATTGTCAGAACTGTTGTAAATAGAGTATCAGTCAATAAACGTGTGAGCAGTTCTAGAATGTTTATCACTATTATATCAGACAATAAGATGTACCTCTATTTTGGTCAAAATGTGGTAACATTTTATAATCACACTCACATTTTCCGATTTTCTCCACTGAAATTTAACGGATCAAAATCCTTTGGATCCATTTTTTTTGGTTTTCCATATGCTTCACTTTCATGCCAGTACTTTGCACGGCTGTGAAATTTATCATAGTCAAAATTGTTTTGTTGCTGGTCTGTATTCTTGTGGAAAATTGAATCGTCGTATTCCTGCCTTGTGCTCTCTTTACCCAACACTGTGTATGCTTCTGAGATATCCAAAAAGGCAGCAGTACTGGTGCTGCCTTCGTTGAGATCTGGGTGATGCTTTTTTGACAGCTTGAAGTATGCTTCTTTTATCTCTGATGCACTTGCATTTGTTTTGAGATTGAGAATCTTGTAATAGTCTTTCTTGCCTCCAGAGTTATGGCCTAAACTTCTACATGAAGTGTGTAACTTGGCACACAATGGAATACATAATCTGTGTATTTTGGAGGTTGGGACAGTGGTGTTCATAACATTCATGATGCAAGCATTCCAGCAGGTGACCTGGTTGTTCCTGACGGCCACACTAGAATGCCTCCTACCCTGGGTCTGGGCGAACACTTGGCAGAACCTTTGAAGTCGGGTGTATTGGCAGGACTGTGACATGTCTATTCGGGAAATGGAAGAGCGCTAAGTCAGGTCAAAAGTCAACCACTGCATTCTGAACAATCCTATATTGTTTTGGTCACACCTTCTCTGAAAAAAAATACAGAATGTATCATGTATATTAAACAAGAGGCCCAGATGGCCTGTATCGCTCACCTGGATTTCTAAGCAATCATGGCAAAATATTCTCCAAATTTTTTCATGCCCAGCAATTTTACGTATGGTCATGGGGTGGGGATCTCAACCCTTTCAAAGTTATGACCCAGGGGTTAAGTCTGCAAGGGTGGGGCAGACCCTGGGGTCAATTCTAATATCATGACTGCATTAGTCTCTTTATGCCATGCAACAATTGTATATATATAGTTTTGAGGTGGGGATCTTAACCATTTTGAGGTTAAGTATCCAAGGGTGGGGTAGTCCCCAAGGCCATCCTGGAAGCATATGTGCTTTGATCTCTTTATACTCAACTGTATATATGGTTACAGGGTGGTGATCTCAACTGTTTCCAAGCTGTGACTAAGAAACTAGGTTCCTAGGGGTTCGGTCAGACCCCAGGGTCTATTCTAATATAATGACTGCATTCGTCTCTTTATGCCCAGCATTTGTATATATAGTTTTGGGGTGGGGATCTCAACCGTTTTAAAGTAATGGCCCATGGACTATGTCTCCAAGGGTGGGGCCCGACCCTAGGGCCATCCTTGAAGCAAATGTGCATTCTTCTCTTTATACTCAGCAATTGTATATATGGTTATATGGTGGGGATCTCAACTATTTCCAAGTAATAAAACTTATTTTGGCCCCACCCCTTAGCCCGGGGGTCAGTCTCACTATTTGTACAATTTTGAATCCCTGCCTCCCATGAATGCTTCCGACCAAATATGATGGATATCCATGGCATAGTTCTACAGAAGAAGTCGTTTATAGCAATATAGCCAAATTGCTCCGTTTTGGCCCCATTTTCAGCCCCCTGGAGGGTCAGCCCCACCATTTGTACAATTTTGAATCTCCACCACCTAGGGATGCTTCCAGTCAAGTATGGATGATATCCATCTCTTAGTTCCAGAGAAGATGTTACTTAAAGCAATATAGCCAAATAACCCATTTTTTGGCCGCGCCCCTCAGCCCCATGTGGAGTCAGCCCCACTATTTGTACAATTTTGAATCCCTGCCTCCCATGAATGCTTTTGATTAAATATGATTGATATCCAGTACATATTTCTACAGAAGAAGTCGTTTGTAGCAATATAGCCAAATTGCCCCCTTTTGGCGCCACCCCTCAGCCCCGGGGGGGGTGGGGGTCAGCCCCACCATTTGTACAATTCTGAATCCCCACCACCTAGGAACGCTTCCAGTCAAATAAGGTTGATATCCATCTCTTAGTTCCAGAGAAGAAGTCACTTAAAGCAATAAAGCCAAATTGCCCCCTTTTAGCCCCGTCCCTCAGCCCCACCATTTGTACAATTTTAAATCCCCACCACCTCGGGATGCTTCCAGTCAAATATGGTTGATATCCATCTTTTATTTCCAGAGAAGAAGTCGCTTAAAGCAATAAAGCCAAATTGCCCCCTTTTAGCCCAGTCCCCTGGGGGGTCAGCCCCACCATTTGTACAATTTTAAATCCCCACCACCTAAGGATGCTTCCAGTCAAATATGGTTGATATCCATCTTTTATTTCCAGAGAAGAAGTCGCTTAAAGCAATAAAGCCAAATTGCCCCCTTTTAGCCCTGCCCCTCAGCCCCCTGGGGGGTTAGCCCCACCATTTGTACCATTTTGAATCCCCACCACCTAGGGATGCTTCCAGTCAAATTTAGTTAAATTCCAATCAGTGGTTAAGAAGAAGAAGTCGTTTAAATAAATTGTTGACGGACGACGGACGGAAGGACGCCACGGTATGGCATAACCTCACCTTGGTCCTTCGGACCAGGTGAGCTAATAATGCTGGAAATCATATTGGAAACAGCATGCTGTTGCGAGGCCAGTATTGCTAAATTGATTTTTCTTTTGTTTTTCGAGAGAACAAATTTGAATAATCTTGCATAGATACAAGCGAAGAATTACAATATCTCATGTAGAATATAAAATGACAAAGCTCTGTCAATGATAGTTATAAATAAGGTTTTCGAATTCTGATAGAAGTTATACCGTCCTTGTTGCACTATGACCCCTTGGTCATACTTAAAAGCAATAACAAGCTTTCTCAGATTAATACCTTTAAAAACGTAATGAAATAAGCCATACCAGAACGTGTGGTTCATATAAACAAAGTTTTATGTTTCATGTCTGGAAAATTAATAGAATAAGGATGATTTAGTTTTTATGCTTGATGGCATGTCAAATAATATGTATTGGACTTAAGATAAAAAACTTATTTAGACAGTGTGGCTTAAATAAGAGGCCCAAGAGGGCCTGTATCGCTCACCTGAATATTTAAGCTGTCATAGCAAAATATTCTCATTAAATATTATATTGCACTAAAAATATTTCCCTCGCAAACTTTGTTGGCTCCATCTGTTGAAACTACCAGCAAAATATTGTTAAAAGATTCTATGCTGTTTGATTCTTCTTCAGAAGTTGTTTGACATATTTTCCCCTGTGACCTTATAAGTAGGTCAATGTCAGTTTCCTTCTCAAATTGGTTAGCTCTATTCCAAAATGTTACCAGCCAAGTCTTATGAATCCATTCCTTTTAGTTCTTGAGAACAAATCCTTTAAAATGTAGTTGACCTCTGTGACCTCTAAAGTAGGTTGAGGTCATTTTCATTCGCAAACTTGGGTGAGCTCTATCCCAGGAAGTCACCAGCCAAATGTTATAATTTTATGAATTTTAATTCTTCAGAAGAAGTAGTTTGAACCGTTTGACATATTTGAACCCTTTGACCTTGAAAGTAGGTCAAACTAATTTTCATTCTCAAACTTTCTCGAGCTCCTACCAACAAAGCTTCAGCCAAATATCATGACTCTAGGCCTGTCCGTTCTTCATCAGAAGTTGTTTAAAGGAAAAGTTGACGGACGGACAACGGACGACGCACCATGACATAAGCCGTCGTCATGTCCTTTGGGCAGGTGAGCTTATAATTCATAAAACAAGTGACATCAGAAAATATGTTGTTCACTTCAATATAGCCTGGGGCCTGTTCGTTTATGCGGAACAACCAGTTTGTCCGTTTTTAAATGTAACAATTTCTGGCGCACCTGTAAATGTTTATGCATGCCTTGCAAGGCTTTGTCAAGGCTCGCCTGAAGTAGCATCAGATTACTAGGTCTGACCTTGTTTAATAAACAAAAAGCTACGGTCCGACCGGTTCAACCGCCTAAACGAAAATGGCCCTAGAAGCCTACATTAAAGTTCTACATTACATTTTATAGGAGTTATCTCCCCTATTATGAGATGATTTGTTAACTGTGAAACCATAATATATAATCAAATGAAATTATCTCCATTGTCAGAAAAATTCATATATAACAGCAGGTGCATTATGGTCCTATTAACAATTGCTCCTGCTGGTTGGTCAGTGTTGTTTTGGATATTACCATGTTGACAGTGACTGTCAAAAGACAAGTAACTGTCTTAAACCTCTAACTTTGTTGGAGATATGTATTGAACAAGGTGTCTTCTGATGTCGCTTACCCAGTATCTGAATACCCTTGTCACTTTATGACACTAAATTATCATTTTTAAGCATGAACTGAAGCCTCTCATTGCCAAAGGGTCCTGATTTGAATCAATCTACATATTAAAGACATGCTACATTGTACTTGTCCCTATATCCTACTTAACCTGTGACATTGATAATGTTTTGAATGGTGGCCTACCTGGATTTTTGTAGCAGGTAAGGGGAAAACGCTTGGCCTGATCCGAATATGAACCTGAGACTTCTGAGCTCTAGACAGACACTTTGACCAATTGAGCTGCCAGGTGGCTGGAGATTAACCCAGTCCAATTTCACTACATTCCCTTCTACTTTTTCTGAATCGTTGCCCCCTAAAACAATACTGTTTTCACCCAGGTTCTGTTATCTCATTGTCAAGTGTACAAACAGTACTTGAACCAAGGGGTCACAGGCACCAATGTAATAGAAGAAACATGCATGGCTAGACAGTGGGGAGTTGGGATCTCTGACCTTAAGATGGCTGCTCTAACCAATTGAGCTACCTCAGATGGCAAGCAATTGACCAAGCAACTACAACTCAATATTATTGACATAGGTGGAAAAGCCTTGTAACCCATTGCATCTCTACCCCTTTAAACCTCTAAAATACTAAAATGCATGGCCGCCATTAATTATGGACTTTATTTGAGATGATCATGTGGTTATATAGACCTGAGAATACTAACAGAGATGAAGGTGTATATCACTTTCTCAGGTCCAAATAGCCTAAGGACATGGGGCGTTAAGGGTCATTTCTGGCCTCATCAGGGATTTAGAATATGTTGTCTTAAAATGACCTATAATGCACAAGTCCTTTTTACCAAAATAAAAGTCTTTAGTTGCTCATTTTGTAGAAATTTGGTTTGTAGTCTGTGTGTTTTAGTTAGTGCCAGCCCAGAGTATCCATCATGTCTTGTACAGAGCTTGTGTAGTAGTATTTTTATGTATTCTACTTATATGCTGCTATGTTATTGTATGTTTTACTCGCTAATTATGTGCTAGCTTTCTGTGATAGTGTATAGCTTGATTTGTTGTTTTCTGTTTGCTTTTTTATCATGTTTGTCGCAAAAATAGCGCCACAGCGCTCATGTTTCTCTGTTTGATATACACATGTATGCGACGTTAAATAAAGTTCTTGTATTCGACGGAACTGGACTCGTGTAGAAAGTTATCAGCAGGCGCGTAACAACCTATGTAGCAAAAAAGCCCGGGCTTACACACCATTTTTGACAAAATAAAAAAAAATATAAACGCAACATAGACTATATGATATAACATATTAAAAAGCAATGACAGATGTTTTGTATCTGCTATAAAGACCGCCAACTTACTAAAATGCTTTGTTACAATCAAAGTCTCTAACAAATGTAGAACTGGGGTAGCATATTCATTCGGCATGGTAATCGCGCCAGTTGCTAATTATCGGTGTACCCAAACACTAACTCTAGTTTTCCCCGTGAAATAAAGTGTTTCTAAGGGTTTTTTTACCGCTTTTATACATATAAAGGGAACAATATGGTTGGTAGCCTGGCTTCAATCATTTGACATGGTAACCGTGTCCGTGCAACTCTAGCTATGCAAATTATTGGTATCCACATAGTACTCGCTAGCCCCCGCCCCCCGTGAAATAAACTGTTCCTATGATTTTTATCCCCTTTATTAATACAAAATACATATGGAATGGTCATAAACCATGGCTTTATATTTTACACATTGACCAGTATATCGATTCTTATGTACATAATGCCAAACTATTCCTAGTGCTAGCTTGTGATACTAGTCTCATATCCCTGCGCAACCGGAGTCACAGTCGCGAGAAGAAACGTCACACTCTGACAACAACTATCCCAAAATCCACATGATTTTAGATTTTTCTTTTCCGTGGAATAATGTTACCGAACTCCATAATAGAATTGGCGTAGATGAGTACCAATCCCTACGTACCCAAAAAGAAGCAAAATATTTGTAACATAATAGGGGAAAACGATATTTTCTTGCTTTAAAATGGCCATTAAAACTGACACCAGAACAAGGGAGAACGCGTCTCATGTGTTCTAGAAAACAAAATTCTCCTGGGGGAGACCCCCCCCACCCCAGACCCCCACCAATGGGAGGGGGAAAACCCCCTCACATACCCTCCCCCTCCTCGCGCTACGCGCTTCGGGGTGCTGCCTTCGGCAGCACACTTCATCATTGGGCTTACACATTGAAAACCCGTTTGTTACGCCCCTGATCAGTAAGTTTAGTTGATGTATTTAAATATTAACTATTATATTTGCGTATAAAACAGAAAAAAATAGGGCGAAACAACCTAGGGCGAACGGGATTTCGAGCGAAAAAAACCTTAGAGCGAACCCGATTTAGGGCGAAACAACCCGTTACCCATATATCCCCTACAATCCTGAAACCGAGCCCCTGTGCACTAAACAGCTAAAATAGACATTGTCAACAGCTCGGATTAAATTGTATCATAGCTGGTGATCATGACATGTAACTTTAGTGCGTGTGTTTGCGATATTTAGCTTACAGAAGAGAAGTCACTCTCGTGCACAACTTCTAGGTAACGTAATAGATGCATAACCTACAGAAAATTATCTTTCAGTTGACAGACATCAAATCCTGTCGCTTAGATGCTTGAATGTCATTCAGATGCTTGAGTCTCCAATAGAACGGGGAGTACTAAAGAACTGATTAAAACCTGTATAAAGTTCCACAATCAGTGAAACAGAAGGAGATATGTCAGGGATGATATCAATGCAATAACGTAGATTTTCATATTTTTTCAAAGAAGAGAAATTGCTATCGTCCAAGGGGTCTGTCGATTTACCCAATACAAACGTCGATTTACCCAATACAACCCAATACAAGCGCCGATTTACCCAATACAAACATAGATTTACCCAATACAACCCAATACTACCCAATACAGAAAGTAAACACCCAATAAAACTGATATACCAAATAAGTTTACAATAAAGGTTAAGTATATGTAGATCTTAATCGGGCGTAGATCTACTTGTAATTGAGTTTTCATTATTTATGAAGTAAATTATGACGGGAATGATATACAATAATTTATCGTTATCATATCGGATAAAATATAGAAAAATGAATTTCATTACTGATTTATCAAAGAAATACAGAAGCAATTGTTATTTGTAGCAAGCATCACTGTTGTCTGAATGAAACAGGTGTGTACATATGTGTAACTTTATGATTCCCATCCGCTTTACAAAAGAAATCACTGGTAATTACATAAACTTGCTCAGATTGTTTTCATGTTCGAAAAATAAAGTAAAATTACACAATTAGATAATAGCCATGTTGAGCTTTCAATAATCATTTTGATAATAGATAACCCTCGTTGTTAAAGTTGTATGTGGTTCGTAATAGAATTAATAGTCATTCACTATTGAGGCAAATAAGCATACATTTTATATACAGGGAACACTCCATCAAAATGGTAACTAAATTATATAAAAAAAACAAGAACAACGGAACTTGAATTCAAATATTTACACACATATATATGTATATTCATAAGTTTCCAAAATACCGGTATAACTGTGATGCTTAATTAGTTGCTGCTCGCGATCTCCTATATTCCAATACATTATTCTAGAAACAAACAGAAATATAGTTAATGATCCTAACATATATATTAATTTTTACGTAATGTCTTTATACATGTAGTTCTAACAATACAACATATAACAAGTACAAATGGTAATATATGAGAGTGAGCGATTATAAAAAAAAATCCGTTTTTTGTTCTACTAATGAAATATTCCAGCGCTCTTTCCAGACATCATTTACTTTTTAATAGGTACAATATATTGTTGTGAAGACATTAAAAAATATATGACTAGGTTAAGAAAAGCATTTCACCAATGTGTATCCATTCGTGAATGAAACTGCAAAATATAGAGAGAAAAAAACAATACACTTTTTCTTCGAATGTCCTCTTTATAGGTATTTTAGGCAACACATCTTCTCTGTGTATAATCTATTAGGTTTTGTAAATCTTCATGGTTGTATTGGGTAAATCGACACTTGTATTGGGTAGTAGTGGGTTGTATTGGGTAGTATTGGGGTGGATTGGGTAGTATTGGGGAGTATTGGGTAAATCGACACTTGTATTAGGTAGTATTGGGTTGTATTGGGCTCTATTGGGTAGTATTGGGTTGTACTGGGTAGTATTGGGTTGTATTGGGGTGTATTGGGGTGTATTGGGGAGTATTGGGTTGTATTGGGTTCTATTGGGTAGTATTGGGTTGCATTGGGTTGTATTGGGTAAATCGACACTTGTATTGGGGGGTATTTGGTTGTATTGGGAAGTATTGGGTTGTATTGGGTAGGATTGGGGTGTATTGGGTAGTATTGGGTTGGATTGGGTTGTATTGGGTAAATCGACCCTTGTATTGGGTAGTATTGGGTTGTATTGGTAGTATTGGGTTGTATTGGGTAGGATTGGGGTGTATTGGGTAGTATTGGGGTGGATTGGGTAGTATTGGGGAGTATTGGGTTGTATTGGGTAGGATTGGGGTGTATTGGGTAGTATTGGGTTTTATTGGGTAGTATTGGGTTGTACTGGGTAGTATTGGGTTGTATTGGTAGTATTGGGTTGTATTGGGCAGTATTGGGTTGTATTGGGTTCTATTGGGTAGTATTGGGTTGTATTGGGTTGTATTGGGTAAATCGACGCGCCGTGTATAGGTCACTTTATATATGTAAAATCTGGGTCCGTATTCATGAAACCGTTCTCACGCTCAAACTCAGACTTCTTGTTCCTGTGATAAATTATTCCATGAAATGATATTTTCTCAATGTGTGGAAGAAATTTGGAGAGACCCAAAGCCAAATATTGTGTTGATTTTTTATCATGACAAGAGTGTCTTTTCGATATCATTACAGCTGTTAGGAGGATGTTATAAATTCCAGGTGTCTTAATCATACCTTGTGACATGTATAGTTCTGGTTAATTCAAACGGGTCTATATACTAGTCTCATTTGGACTAGAACATGCATAGTAGAATTTGTTTTTATTACGATTACTTTATCTACGGTGATCATTGTTTGAAGGGCCCTCACTCTGTTGTAATGCTGAAAGTAAGTTCATAACATATTCGTAGACCAATGTCATTAAAAGTCTCCTCTAAACGTTCAGAATTTAAACAAATCAAAAGCAACAATTATCCGTTGTTAGTATAGTGTGTTCGGGTGGAGTAAGTGTGCTGTCTGTCCTCAGAGTGGTATTACAGTGAGGTACTATATGCAGCACTCTCAAGGCGGCATCAGATCTGCGCTATATCAAAGTGACAAACACCGATACACCGCTTCCAGCACACATGCATAGCAACTTAACAATGTATATATTGTACATCCACGTGCAGGGGGCACGTCCTTAAAATAGCTATTTGTAAGAAGCTAAACTCAACAAAAAAAAAAATCGTGGAATTGATATCCCCCGCTTGCAGGACATCTTGTAGGTAAACATTATGGAGGTTAGGTTTAAACATGTGAGTATCGTGCTGTTGAGACATAATGTATAGCTTGAAACTCGAAGAAAAAAAAGCCTTATACAAAAGTTAGACTTTCTATTAAACAAGTAGGAATTATTGTAAAAATTTATCGTTTAATCCATCAGGATTTACTAACCTCATTAATTATCCGTAAATATGCATAAATGACATCGGTTGACAAACTTAG